AGTGAAAATAAATGGTTTTACAGTATGTGTGGAAAAAAGACATTCACCCTCCACTACTTTTGTCTTGGCTGTGCATTGAATGGATGGAGCAAATATATCATACCATACCATACCATACCGCACCGCACCGTACTGTACCGTACCGTATCATACCATAACATGCCATGCCATACCATGCCGTGCCGTACCATGGTGATCTTCTGTATTTTGTCATTGATTGTTATATTACAAACTCTATTAAATGGTGCTTTTTTTCTTAGCTGTAATTTGACAAAATATGTAAATATTTTTTTTTTTATTTTTTAAATGGGTAATTTGTTATTTTAATCTTGACTACCTTTTTACTATTTAAATGAATTGTCCATAGTGAAGTTTATTTTGGCTTTCAAAACATAAGGGAGTGCTTTGTATTCTTGCCAAAGTTTGTATTGTCATTTTCCTTTTGTGTATGTGTAAGGGGGGGGGGGTGTCTTTCTGTGATTGTCATCACCCAGTTAGGAGGTCTTTCTGTGATTAACATCACCAAGTTAGGGGGTCTTTCTGTGATGGTGAACCCTCTATACTGATGACTGAAAACAGGATTGATTTTTGAAAATGAAAAATATTGATTTCTGATTTGACACTAAAATGTACTATTTTCTATAAATTTGATTGTTTGATCTATATCTGCTCTGTCTCTTTTTAGACTCAGCCAAATATTCTGTAAAACATTTTGAAATATGGCTGCTACATGTCAATTTAGGAAACTTGACACAATGCATGAATTACGGTAATCTTAATTAATTAGATAAAGTGCCAATAAACTCATTTTGAATCTACACTTTCTTGTAAATTAGATACAACTTGAATTAGTGAAATTGGCTTAAAAATAGTTAAAATAAGAGGTTTTACAGTAATCAGAACATATCATTTACCACTAATCATAATCCAAAAATATCCCATAATAGTTTCTTACCTATTACTTCCTTATATGGTCTTAGTTCTGTTCCACTGATTTGTTTAACCTGGCATTACTTAACTCCATGAATACATTGCCAAAGTATCAGTAAACCATATTTTTGTCATTGCATTGTAGATCACATTATACTACTGTTATATCATAACTCCATGTTTTTTGTAAAACCTATATAAAAAGAACATTTTTGTACTGGTCATGAATTATTTAAACTTAAGTGTTTCTGAAAAAATTCTTGAATTTCAGACTACTTTATTTTTTCACATGCAATATTATATATTCACTGTGTACCAGAAATTGTTGTCACTAAAATACAGTATTCTGCTTGTAACTTATATATAACAAAGTTGCTGCTCTACAAATAGAGCAGGTCAGTTACCTGCATGTCAAAAGCATTCTCGTTGCCAGTTTATTTTCGCTTTGACACTCAACGTAGGCTTGCCGTAAAAGAGGCCGTGGCGTACGACGATTGTCAAAGGATAAATCCAGGATTGTTGTTCTGTGAAATTTTCCATGGAAGTGGGAGACTCTATAATGTGATAGTTCAGTATTAAGTGTCATTCTAGCTGTTAAAACTCTTTATGAAGTATGAATGGCGGTGATAAAGTTTTATCTTAAAGAAGTAGACACATTTTTGAATTTTGATGCAGTATGTGCTTATTATTGGTTACTGAAATGTAAGCACTAATTTGGTTTGTCACATGTTGTGGTCGCAACTCCAGTGATGAATTTTTGAGAACTATTTTAGTGATCATTGGAAGACTGTATATGAACAAACACCTGATTATATGACATATTCGAATGTAGCTTATCAAGATGAGGTTATATTGTAAACTTGACATGTTTGGATAAAGTCTGAAAGTGAGGACCATTTGTCTTTGAGCGTGTTTCAGAATTGATCAGACATGCCTGGACCGACCGATCGATTCACACATACTCTGTACATGTTTACATGCTTTTGCTTGACTATACTTGTCAAGATGGCTAAATGGTGGCCATTTTAAAGTTGAAAATGCATAAAAATTGAACATTTCTGCTATTCCAGAACCAGGTCTTGGTTGTGCAGATTTTGTTCAGACTTTTTAGGTACATTGTAGATCTTGATGCTGTCATTTAGTTTTTAGTTTGGATTCAAAATGGCTGACTGGCAATAAATGTTGTTCCAGAGCTGTATTGCTAACATTCCTTGACTGATAACAATCATACATAAGTTCTAATTCAAAATGGCTGACTCATTCCAGTTTTGTTTACTACATTGCACAACAGAGACTGTGTCATCCAACTTTACATTTTTTCATTCTGATGTTTATAGCGGATTCCTAGTTAGGTCTATAACTGAGACTGAGTATGCAAAGTATCCCAAAAATGTAAATTATCAATTAGATAGTGATTGTATTGAATATAGATATGTTTCTAAAATTATGAATATTGATTTTTAATACATGAAGCTGTAAAATTTAGTTTAATGTAATATTTCTACATCATTGTACCTGTACTGTAAATAGTTAGTGTAAAAATTGAAATGGATTGCCTCGTTTATATAAACACCATATTTGCTCTATTATACATGCATCTCTAATAGAAAGAGCGTACATAAATCCTATAATAGTGCATTTACTGTATTTTGTTTCATTGCAATATGACTTTATTATTTATGTAAGCTTCGGACTCCCACCGACAGTCAGTTGTGTCTTCAACACAAGGAGCTGTTAAATCCTACTTGTAAGGGCATGTTTTGACATGTGCTCTGAATCTCTTCGAGGCAATCCATGCAATTAAAGGTGCAATTCGTTTTTATAATGCAATAGTTAAATGTAGCTCTTTTCAGTCATTTTAAAATTCAATGAATGAAAAAAAATGTCCTATGTGTGGTCGTCAGGATGTATTTTATGATGGTTTTTCTTTTGTCTTGATGTAGTTTTAACAATTACTAGTCGAACAATGTGTGCAAAATAGCATTGAACTAATTATAACACAAGGGGCTTTATTTTTTACTGGCGGAGTATAAACATTTTATGGTAATTTGATGCAAATCAGTGAAACACCAAAATACTTCTAACTGCCAAGCCAGCCTCTGAAATATTTCTGTCCCAAAACTACTGTAGTGTTGCACCCAGTACAGCACCCTCTGGTGTTGATTTTGTTGTAAATGTTGACTTTTGTTTCACATATTGGTATAAGGTGTCAACCAAGTTTTTTTATTGAAAACAAGTCTGGTTCTGTTTTGCCATGGAGCAATGTTGGAAGGTATAGGGCACAGATTGTGTTCAGTGAATTGCTATGCAAATATGAGGGGAAAAAAATATTTAAACAAAAAATTAAGTTCATGTATTATTATTAAATAAATTTCGTCCATTATGCACTCAATGCTTGCAACTGGTAAAAAATAAACAGTAAATTAAAGTAATAATGTGTGCTGTCTGACTTCCTAAAATCCAAGAGTGGTCTAAATGTTGTACGAAGATTGAGGAAATGTACGAATTGACCTGCTGCTATGTATTACAAGGGTATTGTTTGTTTTTACATGCACTAAGGAGTACTGTTTGTTTTTACATGAACTAAGGGGTACTGTTTGTTTTTACATGAACTAAGGGGTACTGTTTGCTTTTACATGCACTAAAGGGCACTGTTTTTACAAGCATTAGGGGGTAGTGACAATGTCAGTCAAGTTGAAAGTCTACTTGAGACACCTGAACTTGGTACTGTATTTGCTCTATTAGTAGCAAATGTACTTGCGTAAATGAAAAAAAATAATGAATGTGTCACCAGATGTTACAATATACATAATTGTCCTGTACAACTTGGTGATAAGGTAGCTTGTCAGGCTATTTTTCAGTCAAATAGTGCCGCCAGTCGGCCATTCTGAACCTGATCAAACAAGAAAATCATGAGCATATATATACCATCATGTATCAACTGTGGCACGTAGTTGATAAAAATCAGTTCAGGACAAATGGATCCCAATCCAGTCGGGATTTTAATATCTGTGTATAATAAATGTAATTGTTTGTATACTTCTATCAGAGATGGGATTCTCATTGAGCAAATAGATTTAAAAGCTATATGTGGATCCAGATAGGTAACAAATGTGTTGTGGGACAAAGCATTTAAGTAATTACTGATAAACTATAATACCATATTTGCTTCTATTTAAGCATTTATTGTATTCTGGATCATTAAAATACGACTTATTTTGACTGAAGACATACCTCTGTCATTTACGTAAGTGTGTGTGTTAAAATTAGTGCAAATAAGGTACATGTATATCAGTTTTATAACATCAAAAATTAGGTATTTTCTCAAAATTTGAATTTAGGTGAAGCCTGTGAGCGGGCGGGCACATTGTACATTACAGCATCAACGACAAATAGAAATGATGAAATCTTGCATAATTATTGAGTACTCATTTATTATTATAATATTCAAACAAATTAGCATATTTACAAAGATAACTAATTCTGGAAAATAAAATTGTCTGCCATTACAGTAGTTTCTCACATAATAGAACCGTGAAAAAACAATATCCTGTTAAATAGATCTCAATATGGATTTGCTAGCTATTACTAGATATGATGAAGGGGGTCTGGTAAATGATGAAAAACAAGAATTGAAGAAAAATGACTAAAAACAAATAAATCAACTAAATGCAGTTCGTCTCTTGTGAAAACAAAACGACCATAATGTACAGTGTATATATAATTTGTTATTGGAAATATTTTACAGAAAGTCAAGACATTTATCACTGATTTATGGTTTCCAGGTTATTACTTTGACAGCAATTTCTGCAGCTCTTTGAACTGCTTCACTTTTATCTTCAAGAATTCGCTTCTGGATCTAATAAGATTATAAAATAAAACACACAAACATTAATTAATTAAGCACACTTTTTGTATTTTATATGAGTGAATTTTAAGTTTAATTTTTTAATAAAATTAGTGAAGCTCCGACTTACAAAGCTTTTGGTGACTTCCACAATTTTTTTCAGATATTTCAAAACATGCAGCTGTGATGTATGTGAATGTCAAATTTAATACTGAATAATTTAAATAAATAACCGTTCTACACACAGCGTATTTAGGATAGGTACAACCTATTTCAGTATTTCTCTGAATGCTTCAAAACTAAAATAATTTTGGAATAAATAAATATACCAAGGTACCAGATATGTAGCTCTGTAGTCTATTTTTAACTGGGCAATGTATTGGATAGGGAAAATCGGCCAATCTTTTTTAAAACCCATGCTAAATGACACAAAAGAGACTCAAACGCTATATGAAAGATGTCCAATGGCTGAATGGAAGAAGCACTGCACCATTTAGTGCTGTGTAGATTGGTGAGTCAAAGGACTACAAAATTTACTATCATTTTCTATCTATTATATTTATTGATCCTCTCCGAGTTTCACAAATTTTACAATTGGTGAACAGAGTTATAGCCAGAAAATAGCCCATTTAAAAACGTTATCAAAATGAAAGATAGTAGTCTCTAGTCTGTAACCACAGAATTTGTTGTAGTTGATTTTTCATGATTACTTTGTAATTTAATGGTAATTTTGCTTGTCAAATGAAAAGTGCCTGTATAAAGTGACAGGTAGACAGGTGGCTGGCTATAAGCCTATTGGTGAGTTAGTTCTGTCATGCACATTTCTTTACCATGTTTCATGGAATTATTGTAATAATCACCAACATTGTGTATTCACAATACAACACTTGTAGTTTTATTCTGTTGCAACACTATAGGTTTTAAAGACTCAGGGCAGTGGTTTGTTGCAACATGCATGCATAAGATTTGTGTTGATAAACATTGATTTTTTTGATAGCTATAATTTCTTATCTTGTTTTGATGTGCACTATACCAACTTTGACTCGTTGGAATATACCGGTAATTCGATATGTTCCAGAATGACTCTAGTTAAAATCTTGATAATTAATGTCTTTTTTTTTTTGCCTGTTGATCTGCACAACATTCAAAGTTGCTATCTTTGTTTATATGGGACTCTTATGCATGTGTGGCACAACAACAACCGCCATTTTATTTTCAATATTCATGAATTCAAGCCTAAGGAGCCATATAACACTGCAGTTGACTTTTGTGACAACTTAGGGAGAAACACACAGAAGTAAATACAGTCAGAATAAATAGAAGTCAATCAATCTATTGTGTCTATCTTCAAAATAAATGAAAAATATCCAACAGGCCATGCAATGTGAATTCATATTTGTATACTAGTAGAATCACCATCCCTCTTTGAGGGACGGTGGTAGAATACTTCAATTAATTTTACTCTTTGGCTGAAGGGATGAAAACCAATAAAAATAAAGAATCTCACACAGGATTTTCAGACTAACCATATAAATACAACATTCTTAATAACCAAATTTTTTGTGAATAATTTCTCATAGAAATTTGTTTGTCCAGATAGAAAGCCACCAAGGTTATAACTTTTGAACACCGTAACTACTAGATTTTAGTTTGCGGTTCGTTTTAAGGACTTTCAACTTGGCAGATTATAAATTTTAAGACTAATCAGAGGTTCACATAAACTGTAAGACAAATATAATCACATGTATCAGATTTACAGTTTTCAGAGAAATAAAATTTAAATTCCAGCTAAATTAAATTAAGTCCAAGTACTATGAAAATGTATTCTTTATGGCCTGTCAGATACAACAAAACCACCACCTTTATCACACACACTTCTAAATCAATACAGCACACTATAGATAAACACCCTGCACCTACTACACAACCCTCAACATTACCAGTCAGGGAGACCATGGCGTGATGAGGAACCAGGAAGCCACATTTGCGGTAATCCATGAAGGCAAAGGAATCAAACTTTAAATTTAACCTTTTCATCACTAGTTCCCTGTTTTCATCACAAAATAGTCCTGTTTATAGTCTGCACTTTCCTTTAGCCAAATTTTTTGATTAAAAACTGAAAATTGACTCAAATTTTGTCTCTTGGCTCCAAAATTAGGGTTTATTTCCAGAAATATTGAAAATTATAAGAAAAAAGTGCAGACAGATTTGGGTGAGAAAGTCTAGTGGTGAAAAGGTTAATTCCCAGAGGCCATAGAGATGTTTGTTTAGATGCATGACCAAAATGCCATGACACCTTTCAAAACAATTAAATATTATGTTCACTGTGTTTTAGACATTTTTAGGAATTATGGCCTTGAAATTGGGTGCTCTCATACTGAAGTTTGATTCCTGCTTGTACGCTGATCAGAATATCAAGTGCATTAATACATTACTGCAAATGTAGCCATGAGTATCGAAATGCCAGGTTTGGCATACAAGTAAAAGAAAACAACTGTAATGAGATGGTGATTTGTGACTACAGGAGTGAAGAATGTACTGGTATAAATGCACACTGTGAGTGTGAGACATGATGTTAAAAAATTATAGTATATTAAACATGATTAAGTCTACATCAATCATTATTTGCAAAGAGATGGTGCATAAAAACAATGGATGCTTTGTTGAATGGAGGGCATTACCTGTGGTACCTGTCAGTGATATAATAACATACCATGCAATGAAATGATACAATAATGAAATCAATTTGTTAGAATGTAAATATATGTTAATGTAATTAGCTGATTATATTCATTCCATATACATGAATTATTGAATATTAAAATACAATGAAGATTTAGGTATTATTCTTTTGAACACAATTAGTTCTTCTCGCTAACAATTAGATCCAATTTTTAGCTCCGCTGTCGACTTTGTCGAGCGGAGCTTATCATATGAGTGATTGTCCGTCGTCTTCGTCCGTCATCGTCGTCCGCCGTCGTCCGTGTCAATGTTTTACTTTTTCGACTTCTTCTTGAAAACTACAAGCCTGAATGCTTTGATACTTGGTGTATATGTACCTTGGGTAGACCTCTCTGAGGTTTGTTCATTTCATCTTGATATCTTCAATTCTCTAATTTTGGTGAATATTTTTGTCATTTTTGGTAAAAAGTGATATTTTCGACTTCTTGTTAAAAACCGCAAGTCCGATTGCTTTGATATTATATATATAGGTACTACATGTGGACCTCTCTCAGATTTGTTCATTTTGTGATGATATCTTCAATTCTCTAATTTTGGTGAATATTTTTGTCATTTTTGGTAAAAAGTGATATTTTCGACTTTTTGTTGAAAACTGTAAGTCCGATTGCTTTGATATTACATATATAGGTACTACATGTGGACCTCTCTCAGATTTGTTCATTTTGTGATGATATCTTCAATTCTCTAATTTTGGTGAATATTTTTGTAGTTTTGGGTAAAAAGTGATATTTTCGACTTCTTCTTAAAAACCAAAAGTTCAATTGCTTTGATATTACATATATAGAGATACTACATGTCGACCTTTCTCACATTTTTTCATTTCGTGATGATATCTTCAATTCTCTAATTTTGGTGAATATTTTTGTCATTTTTGGTAGAAAGTGATATTTTCGACTTCTTGTTGAAAACTGTAAGTCCGATTGATTTGATACTATACATATTGTTCATTTTCGAATGATGTCTTCAGTTCTTTAATTGAAATGTGCATTGCTAACAGCGGAGCTATCTCAGCCGATAGGCTGCTTGTTTTTATAATTTTTGTTGATGATTTCTTTTTCAATTTTGGAAAAAAGTCCTGATTGAAATTTGTGATAAAAAGAATGTGGGTTTATTCAAAGGGTAAATACATGTTTTTATCTAAATTTCTTTCGCCATATTGCCAATAAAATATTGCCAGTCAAGAACACAATCACACTTGGAATATTAATCACTACAAATTAACATATGGGATAAATGAAATCTTGTATGAGGTCCTATAGGCTACATTTATTGTATTACCGGTCCACTTTATACTATAGAGTCACTTATGAGATATCCTAGCTTTAGCAAGAAAAAAAACAGACATTCATGTTTTTATGTTGAAGTCTTCCACTGCAAATGCATGCATACTTGAAACAAAAATCCATGCATTTTAAATAAAGATGAGGAAAAAGTACACTCTACATGCTCACTCACTATCTGATTATAAACTATGTGATACAAAACATGCAAGTTTTATGCACAGCTGATTTGTTTGACTGCATGAATCTATACTGGTATTTTTGACTGGATGTCACCCTGATAGATGCAGTTACTATATTTAACACACTAGTGTATGCTTGATATTTCACAAAGCTTTTGGTCAAAAATGTGAATAAAAAGTCAAAATACAAAAGTAAATATGGTACTACTGGTACTTGTTTCCCGGTAAGACATGTATTTTGTAGGTTTTTGACAATCACTTTGAGACTCCGAATGATCAACCTAGGCAAGTGTAATTTGAGTTCTGTGTATTACACCTCCCCATGAACAGCTTGTAGAAGAATTTGGATTTCTGCAATTTTGGCTTTAAGCAATTTTGTCTCTAAAATTAAGACATTCGAAATTCTTGAATGAAAACAACACAATTCACTACAAGACGACTGTACAAAGAAATTGACACTCACTTCCAGACTGAATCAAGTGAAAAGGGACACCAAATTGTGCGGAAAACACCATACCCAGGGTATTGGGTCGTGCACATATCACAATGTAAAAGTGGATGAACTAACTCCACACAATAACACTCATCAATCTGATAACATACATTAATGATTGAGAACTGTTAGTTAATAATATTGAAGAGGACAACGGTAAATAAAATTTTACATGCAACAAACTACACACAGTAATCAATAAACTTACCAGTTCAACATGTTTTAAAAGTGCAGCTCTACCTTCTGGGGCTTCTGATAAAGTTGTAATGGCCTACAAAGTAAAGACACATGTGATATCAGTATTGACATTTATTTTCATCAAGACCAGCTTGACAGCACTGCTGTAATTAACTCATTATTAAATAATTGCAGTGATGTTTGAATGACTTAACCTAGAATTTATTATCCATAAATAATCCTATTAGTATACTTTGCAAATGTACCAATACTTGTTACCATAACAATGCTGAATGTGTTTCAGAATAATGATGTCACAATCAAACACTAAACCTCAAACATTTACATCAGACAATACTGCAAGTAAAAGTACCGGTATAGTCCTTATTAAAACTCACCTTTAGTGCATTGAGTCTGACTTCACTATTTTCATCATTCACAAGAACCACCAAGTTACTAATAGCAGAAGCTTTGATAGCTTCATATTTACCTTGTGTTGTTATCGTAATTCTACAAATAATATTAAACAAACAAATAATTAATGTTCCATTTTGTAAAACCATATACTGTAAAATACTTTTTTAATTTTTGCTATTTTCACTGAAGGAATGATTCAGCGAAAATAAAATCCAGCGAACATAACTTTTTTCCTACATTTTACATTCAACTTGTCAGATATCAGTGAAAATAAATTCCATACAAAATGCCAAAAAAAATCTTTTCAGTGAAAACTAAATCCAGCGAAAATAAAGTATTTTACAGTCAGTAGTATAAATAATGTGTTATATTTTACAGGACTGGGGACACACAATTTAAGTGTAGGTATGTGATAGCATCAATATATATGTATCAACTTACGTCATTAAGGCACCGGCTGATTTACATCTCACTTCCGCATCATCATCTTTTAAAAGTCTCACCAAAGGAACCAAGGCTTCGACTTCACATGCTTTATTTTTACCATCAAGAGGAACACTATACAAATAAATGACAACACTTCTTATATCTGCTCTTAACTTTTACTTCAGACACAGGGATTTTGATTCAGGGATTTTGATTTTAATATTATAATTGTAAATATAAAGAAAATATAGTAGTATACACACCTGAGATCCATGATGTCCCTGGCAGCCTTGGCTCTAACAATTTTCATACTATGATTGAGTAGATCAGTGAACACCTCCATGGCTCCTGATTGCAATGCCTGTATCTGTTCTACTCTCATACAATAATGTAATGTGTCTAAAATATATTCCTAAAACAGATAAAACAAGAGTGATCTTATTTGCCTGTATAGACCTAATTGTTATCTCATCCCTAGTCAGTATGTGATAATAGTTGATGAAAAATCCAAATTATACAAAAATTCAAATATTTTGACAATTTAACAACATTACAGTAGTTAATGTTGGACTAATACTGTTTAATACATATGCAAAAAAATTGAATCTTAGAGAAACTAGACAAACTGTTTTTTTTAAAAATATTTCTGTGCCACTATACAGTTTCGGACATTAAATCTAACCTTTCCTGGCAACTTTTTACTGCAAGTACTGATAGTACATATTGTACCATGTACCCGGTAGTTGATTTTAATCACAAATGTTAGCACTTTTGAGAAAAAGTGTTGTTTGCTGAAATGCTCATGACTAATAGTTATTACGGTAGTTTGAATACACATATTATTTTATTTGCATTAACCAATCTCAATATGGTGAAATTATTGAAAATAGTGCTTGAAATTTTTTTTTTTTTACTGTAACTTACTTTGATTTCATCTACTTCTGTTTTGAGTTTGTCAACTAATTTAGGAATGAGTCCTGCTTCCACTACACCTCCAGCACCCATGGGTGTTTCACAGCACATTTCAATTGCCATGTGTGAATTCTTTCTCACTATATCTGAGTCGTCATCGAATAGATTTGATAAGGGTAAGATAATACCATACTCAAGAAATGCATCTCTGCCAATATTGTGACCTACAAATTAATATTAGATATATAAAATAAGAACATGGTGAAATGTCCAACATGATGTGGTGTTATTTACAGACGTGTCAAAAGTTCTATGTGTGTTATCTGAACTGCGTTCTTACCACATGGCAGCAATTTATTTTAAACTCAAACATGTTGTTGCTGCTAGCTGTGTATGAAAAACAAATTCTTGGTTTTCTGGGTAAACCCCCTCCCCCCCTCACAAACATTCCCAGTAAAATAACAATCAAGAAACTAAAAAAAAACTCTATCATAGAAAAGTATTTTTAGTTTCTTAAGTTTCTTAATGTCACAATATAGATTATCGGTACTCACCTGCTAGTATATATAGTACTTCTGTTGTTTTATGCCTCACTGTGCCATCAGGATCTGTAAGTAGGGCTTTTAAACTTTCTACAACACCTGAACATATTAGAAAAAAAAATGTGAATATGTTGAAACTGGCTGAAGTAAAAAATATCACTAACATCGGTAATGTATTCTTGTCAGGTCTACTTCTTGTTGGTGATTTGCCATTATTGAAGTCATGTGACTTGTCATTATTGAAGTCATGTGACTGGTTGTCTACATTGCAATTATTTTTATTAATCAGTTCCTATAGGAGTAAGGCTTTTGAATTATGTTCTAGCTGATGAGTATGAATTCACAATGATTGTAATTATAGGTCTCAATTAA